CAGCCAGATGATTTACCCATTAGTGAGCTCATATATTTTTGGAGTATATTATATTATATATACTGGCAAAGAAGCATAATATAACCATCTTTTCTCATCTTTTTCTAAAGATAATCTGATGGTTTCAGGTGCTTTTTTACATAAGTGTGTGTTAAGCTTCTTAATATTTAGAACAAAGCCAAGTCTACTTGTTTCTTATTTTGTTTTGCAGCAGATTAGACTTTATTTTGCAGACTATTACTGTCCTAGTGGGTGATAGTGTACTAAGAAAGTCCTGCTTTCAAGAATCTCAGAAAGTCAGATTTTGCTTTAAGAGATCCAGTCTTAATAGATCAAAGCCTCACAAATGTTTTATTCCCTAGGAGTCTGATTTGAAAGAACATGAAATTATTCTATTTCTAAAAAAAAAACCACTAAACCCCCGAATCCTGGCAAATCAGAATGATTACACTGTGCATTTTACTGAATCAAGTGATTGATGTATTTGCTAAATTTTCAATTTGTTTACTCTGAAAGAAAGATGGCATGTGATTTTAAACAGCAATATTACAGACTGATTGTGTTGAAAGTGGTACAGGGCAAAGCTCAGCACAGCAGAAAGGAAAGGTTAGAATGCAGGCCCTCAGGCATTATTTGCTTGAAGATCAATATTATCAATAGTGACAATGTGATCCCAAGGTGTAGGATGGCAGGACCACAGTATGTGCTGAGAAATAATCAAATTCTCTCTGGTGTGTATGCTCCTCTGGGCTGTTTAAAACTTTTTGATAAGGCGACCCAGAGGGTCTGTGGTGGGGAGCTCAATCTGTGGGGCCTTCACAGCTCCTGAATTCCTGCTGGTTCCCACAGGACAGTGTGGTGAGGACAGCCTGGCAGCCTCAGAACATTGCACAAGCTGCAGGTTGGGGTTGTTACAGAGCAAAATCTGTGTGCAGGGTTGGAGAGGCTCAAGGATGACTCTCAGAGTAACAATGCCTGCAGGCTTGGAAGACACATGCTGTGGGGATCAGTTCTGTCAGGTACAGCCTGAATTCTGCTCACTGTGTTCTGGTGAACCTGAAAAACTCTACCAGCACCCTGGGCTTTCCCAGTCACTTGCTTGCCTGGTTCTTTGCTGCAGCCCTTCGGGAGCCCTGCTGCTGGAGCTGATTCCAGAAGATGAAGATGGGCCAGCTGTCCGAGTGGCTGAAGGAGAGATATCAGGCTGCTGAAGGAGGGTGAGGTCAGGAGAAACAGAAGCCAGGAAATAGTTAATATATAGCTTATAGAATCCTGAAACTGGGAAGTGTAGGCTTGCCCATTAGGGCACCGGGACCACTGCTGGGTCATGGGGCCTTTGGAAGAAATCCCAAATTGGCATTATTGGTTTTTGTCTGAGCAGGCACGGGTAAGTCAGGATAAGAGTTAGAGCAGGTCATGAGAGAGAGGCGTTTCCTTCCTGGAGAAGGGAGCATTTTGCAAAATGCTGTAATTGAGACTTTGCAGAAGTGATGGCTCTCAATTGACCTAGGCTGGACAGTGGTTCAGCTGTGGAAGCCTGGGCAGCCTTTCTTGTCAAAACTTTGTTCCAGGCTCTTTGCTGGAAGCAAGACACTCAACAGATGATATATTCCTGGATATTATTTAGTGGAACAACTTCTCCCCTTTCTTTTTCTATTTTCTACCTGCCTTTTTCCCTCGTTTCTTTATGAGTAAGAGATATCAGTTCAGTTGTGAAGAAACTGAATGAAGAAAAACTGTATGCTGATACTTCTAAGCCATGATCTCATCTGTGAAGAATGAGTGCAAGATAAAAATATGAACACCAGCTTTTAAAATGAGAATAACAAACCTTAAATCATAGCTAAACTTCTTAGTATCTCACTCATACTTTTTCAATATTATCAAGGTACAAGAAATGGCAAAACTGAATGGTTTAACTCTTTCCCCTTGTGGAGTGATCTCAGTATTGGACTCATGCCTCTTGCTGAATGCACAAGATATTTTTCACCATAAAACAGCAGCAACATGAGCATGTTGTTTAGCTGTAGTGTACTCTCTCTGACTCTTCCACCCACACTGTGCTCAAGGAAGACTTTATTTAGTTTGTACAGTGCAAAAGGTATTTAAAGAAAAAGAGTTATTTTCCTTTATTGTAAAATAGGTTTTCCTAAATAACAATAAGTGTCCAGGGATTGTTTCTAGAATCCTATCTATTTCTTCTTCTCTAGTTTAGGATATCTGAGTTGATTGTGAGCTGTACAGCAGGGTAGAAATTTTTGCCTTGACTTCGAACAATGATATTAAAACCAAAAATCATCCTGATGTAAAGAGATTTTATTTACAATACTAATGTCTGCTCTTCATATATCTTTATTCTGAAATGGATTACATTTTACTCCTAAATCTCCAGCCTAATTTACTGCAGCCTGTACTTTTAAATCACATTTTATGTGCATGCTGCTGTAGTGTGCCACTGCAGCCCTGGTGGCTGAACGATGTGAGATACAGCAGTGCTAATCTCTAGCACATGTGAAAAATGGAGGAATGTGCTCGGGGAACAGAAAGTCCACATACCAACAAGCAGCTTCTGTGTCAGCAGCTTGCTGGAACAAAAAAATATGAATGATCATCCCTGCAAGCCTTTTGAGGGTGTCTGAGGATCCCAGGAAGGGGTTAACACACGCGGGTGCGTGTCCATGGGCTGCGCTCTGCGCATCAAATCAAATATTTATGAATGAAGGTCAGATGTGCCCCTTTCAGGAGGCTGTCCCCCAACTGTTTACAAAATACAGCCTGAAAAAGAACATGGCCAGGCCGAGTTACAGCCTGACATCTCTGATGTGTCAGAAATGTGACATGGTGGCTTGTGCCTCCGTGTTGGTGGGGTTCAGCTCCCCACTTGAGCCTGAGATGCTATTAATAGTAACAGCCTGAGTCATAGAAGCAGGAATGTCAGACTGCCTGTGCTGTGCTGCTCTTACACGTTGGACTGCTAACAATAGAAAGCCAGCCTCGATTTGTTAGAATAGAATAACTATTTTTTTCCATGCATATGCCTGTATCTCTGGCTCTCTCTCTCTCCTCTCTCTCTCTTTCTCTCTCTCTCTCTCACAGAGATTTATTTATTAAAGAATGTCACTGAATAAGAGATACCTTCTGGGTGAGGCAGACTGGCTTGTTTAATTCATTTCCGTTGTTCTGGGTGGCATTTATACAAAACATCTAAAATTTATTTACTGCAAATATTTTTAACGCTGTGTGCGTGGTCTGATTTTTTTCCAGCAGGTATCAGCCATCTGCTACTCTGTCTGGCTGATGCCTACAGATTGTTTCTTTACATTAATATCTCTCTCCCTACGTAGAGTAGCATGGAGAAGGAATTCCCTTGTGGAGGTGTGAGCAATGTAAATGTAGGGTGCAGTATGAATGTCATTTCACTTCTATCATGTAACATAAAGCACATTTTGCACTGAGCTGTGGTCAAGTTGAAGCTTTTGCTCTGTGAATCTGTCCATAATTTAGCCCAGAATATTTTATATTTGACCCAGTTCTCTGCTGCAGAGATCACCTCTGTCTTTGACAAGTCAGCTCATTTCCATTTGCTATTTTCTCTGCCTTTAAGCCACAAATATAAAATTTACTCTCTAGGCAAAGGCATGAATGCCATAGGTTTATTTTGGGGAAATCACTGGTAGCTAGATAAAATGAAGAACTAAGTAATGGTAGTAGTGATAGAGGCTCTCCAAAATCTTCATGCTGACAGCATATATGTATTTTAAAAATATAAGTAGCTTTTAAGGGCTATTCAGGATTTTGATTAGTCATATTTCCCATCTTTTCTCCATGACGGTGAATAAAAGTTTGCTTGTAAAAGAAAAGTTTTGTCTCCCCTGACTCTGACTCTGACCTGCATCTTTTAATAGGAAACACAACCTTGGTATATGATGATGAGACTTGACAATATTCTAAAGGCTTGGTTTGTTTGTTTCCTAGCATCAGTTTACTGCCCAGTCCTTTCTCAGTAGAGTTTAGTGCCTGGAAAACCACAAATTGGCAGGTCACTTTGAGGCCCAGATTCTACAGTGGTGCTTTGTCTTGTTGGGGATGTGTTGGGGTGTGAAATTCGTGTCTCAGTGATGCTGTTTCAATGCCTTTCTGTCCTCTCAGTTCCGTGAGTACCTGTGGCTGTCATCTGCAAAGGAATTACTTAGGAGTCATTGTTTCCAATTATTTGGAAACTATAATTATTATTATTAACAGAGTATTCCTATTAAATATAACAGTTATTATTCCAGAATCCAGCACTTACTTTGACCCACAGCAAACATTTGTATAGCACTTTCTGGCTTCAGAACCCAGGTGCTCACTGGGCAGTGACAGTTCCCATTTTTATTGTTTTTATTGTTGTTTGAAGTACAGGATAGGTATTCCCATCCTGCACAGGCTGTATGTCACCTGTTTTACAGTCAGTAAGCATTGAGAGACCATTTATTAGCATGTTTTGTGGTCTAATAATTGCTTTAAAGCTAAATCCAGGAGTGGATAAACTGCTCACCATGGAAAAGCCACTGTGCTGCAGCCTGCCTCAGCACTTGCTCATCTTTGTTTCCCCTCTTGATCCTGGCTCAGTTTGAGTAAATAAAACAACAGAAAGCTCATAAATACCACTTCAGCTTTGCGTGTGCATTGGAACAGCTGCCCTGCTCTCCCTCCCATCTCCTGGCAGCCCCTTCCAGTGGCTGGGAGGGATGCAGGGTGCTGAGGGATGGGAGGCAGTGGCAATGGGATGGATCCAGCCCCGGCTCCCTCGGCAGCTGGAGCTCCCAGCACAGGGCAGGAGCCACGGGCTGGGATCAGCTGCCTCTAGCCACGGGAAAACAGCACGGTGGGGAAAGATCAGAGGAACCAGAAGGAAAGAGACAGTGATGAGCAGTCGGACCTGATCAGTCCTTGTAGGAAATCTGACCAGGGGAGATTATTATCTGGAATAAGCTGCCTTTTTTCTTTCTTTTCCTTTTATTTTTATTTTTTTTCTTTTTTAAGTTTTTTTAAATCCATCTCAGCCAAACACTGCTGGAAAAGAGATTGTGTTTAAATTACTTCAGCTAATTCTTGCTGCTTCCGCTAAGAAGAAAAATTGTTTGCCATGGTGAAAGAAAAAGGTAATTATGTTTATTGATAGACTGGAGCTGAAACCTAATGTGCCAGCCACAGTCACCTGAGGTTTAAACCCTCACATTTAAGATGAGCATGCTGTGACTGGCAGTTGTTGTTTTCCTTTCTATAAAAATGGTGTGTGAAGCCCTGCAGTGGGTTGCATTGATTATCATTGTACCTGCTTAATAAGGGTAGAATCTGGAACACATCTAATTTACTGTGTCTGCACAGCAGGGTCCCTTCTGTGTGCACATGTTTGTTTGGGTTTTTTTTTTCTATGATTTAACCCAAGTTGACAGTTTTTTACCTGTATTTGCTGCAGTTAAAGTAGCTTTGACCACTGCAACAGCTAGTTCAAAATTTCAAAAATAAACATTGATATATTCAAATTTGAGAGGGTATATTTTAAATTTTAATGGATAAATGGGATTTTGCAAAATGCTTGAATTTTGCAGCAGTAAATTGGATATCAGTTACCTATAAGTAACATTTTAAGCCTTCTACAGAAGAATTTGCTATTTTAAACAATTTAGAAGTGGTTGTGGGGTGTTTCCTTGCAGTAATACTGGTCTGTGTCATTTATTGTATTATGAAGATGCAAGATAGATGATGAGTTGTATTTGAGTGTACTGGATGTGGTTTGGGGGCATTAACATTATCACAGACAGATTCAGACTCAGTCTCTTGTGTGAAGAGGAGAGTCTGTGTTCTTTACTTCTGAGGGTTCTGTAAGAAATAACATGGGAGAAATTCAAACTAGGGCAGAAACAGAAATAAGAAGGAGTAGAGCTGAGTAAGAGTGGAGCAGTTTTGCAGCTTTGAACACCCATGCTAACACTTTTTGAAATGTAAATAAAAAGTGAGTGCAATTAGCTTCACAGATGTGTAGATTGAGGAGAGCAGGACAAAAACCTCATATATGACAAATGCCTGCCACAGTGTGTCATAGATGTCAGGAGGATTGTAGTAACAACCATTCTCCAGGCTGTTGATAATTTCTGTTGATGAAAGGCAGTGACCCAGCATAAATTTTATTGGCTACCTAGTAGGTTTGGGATCCCTTATTTGAGATGTGCAGGATTACTTTTATAATATCAGTCATGATGACCCGCTACCCCTATCAGTGAGCCATACCAGGGATGGTTTAAATAGGAATTTCACCCCAAATCCTGGAAAGTGCAGGTTGCAGAATCATTGGAATGAACTACGTCAGTCATCTTTTCAGAAAAATAAGTGTATTGTCATGCAGTTTATCATAACTGTTGTTTGTTTTGTAAGATGCATTTTGAGACAGGGCTGCTGGTTTTTTTGAAGTGTACATAAAATATGTGTAGCATTCAAGTTTGGTCCCTTTATATGTTTCTGTCCCCTCCCCTAGCTGATGTTCCCTTGGTTGGATTCCCTGTGTTACATGGAGCTGTAGCTGAGGAATACTCTGTAAATTCAGTTTTAGCATCTTGCACCATGAAAGTTGTCATTTACCTGCAAAAAAAATCAAAACAAGCCTGTCATTTTTGTAAAAAATGGGAAGAACAAAGCTTCTTAGAAGAGTGGGAGAAGTTGACAATAAATGGTTGAAAATGTAAAAAAAATATTTTGTTTAAATTACTTCCTTTTCCCCTCCCCACCAAGTTTAATTAGCATTATTTATTTATTTATTTATTTATATTTATTTAGCATTATTAAAAATGGCTATTTGTGTTTATGTTGGATATAAATATTTTTTCCTGTTCACAGAGATAATGGACTAAAATAACGAAATGTTCCTTTTAATTTTGGAGTGCAGTTAATGATATTTCATATCTCATGGCTGCAGAAAGAGAAAGGATGGAATGTGTTAAATATTTTGATTTTATATGTTATTACTTACAAATAATTTCCTCAACAATTTTTTTAACTCTTTTGTTTCTGCCTCAATTTTCCTTTTTCTGTTAGTGGGGTTTTTTGGTTGCATTGTTTGTTTCTTTTGGGTTTTTTTTTGGTTGTTTGTTTTTTTTTTCTCCTCTGCTTTAGTCAGAAGGTCAGGATTTATTGCTCTAGATGTCACTCTCTACAGTGATACTCTCACAAATGCAGCTGGTACCCTCCCTTCCAGGCACTGCTGGAGCTGTGGTTTGAGCAGGCTGAAAATGCAGTTCAGTCCAGTGTCATTTCACAGACATGTGAAGCAGGCACTGGAGGGGCTGGTTTCAGCTAGAAAAATGCAACTCCAATTCACTGAATTGAAAAATGGTTGGTAACAGTTTTTAGCAAATTAGCATGCTTCATTATGCTCACACTGTAGAATGATTTCAGTGTCTGCCTGGTTAGTTCATACAAAAAAAATTCCCGAGGCCAGGGTGTTTTCTGCTGACACCAAACGGCGCTTCCTAAGTAAGTTGTGTCTGACTGATAACCACTTTTTCATCTCTCTGTGTACTTATCTATTTCCAATTATAAGCCCTTATTATCTAGTTACTCAGCTGAATTATTATCACTGTGCTGCATCCAAGGGCAACTTTCTCTCTTCTTATCCTTTAACAGAAAGAAAGTTTGCATGTGCATAGGTTTGTCTTGTTATTAATTCTCTCTGGCAATTTAAAGCCCATATGGAATAATCTGCATTCTTGCTGCTTCTATGTTGCGTTGAGGTCAACGTAGAAGAGCCTGCTAGCCAGGTTACTGTGTGATACAAGGGTCATTAGTTAGTTCATTCATTAGTTAGTTCCACATTAGTTCATATAAACTGAGGATTTAGCCCTGATTCTTGATTTTTTGAGCAGTTGATGAGAAGACAGCCCTGGCATTCAAGTGCTAGTCTGTGAAAGCATATTGGTAATCAGCTTTGTTCCTGATGAAATCTTGGGCGGGATCATCCATGGGCAAACTCATGAAAGTGGATTAGTTGCTGTTCATGCCATGCTTCTGCATGCTTGGAAGGATAAAAGGAGGAAATATGAGAGGTTGAAGATTTTTTGGATTAAAGAAGCGGGCACAGAGGCTTCGTGATTTCTGTTCTTCGTGTACTGATTCTGCTGAAGGGAAGGTGCTGGCACCTACTGGGTACCGAGTTGCAGTGAGCTTAATGATGTTTCCACGTTCTCACAACTTCTCCGTAGGTGCTCACTGGTGCTGGCTCTCCCAGAAGCCGCGCAGAAGGTGCAGGTCACCAAAATGGTGCCATGTTTCCAAGATTGTTTGGCCCGTGGTTCAGTCTTGCAGAGGGATTTTGTTCTCTGTTGTTTTTTCTCCACACTTTTGGTAAAGCATGACAGCAATACCCCTTCAGGTTTTGACCAAGAGGACTGGTTCTATGCTTGCCCCAACGTTCTTCTCTTCCATTTGCCAGTCCCAAGAGCTGTGAGCCCCCAAAGGAGCTTTTAGTCTTTCTCTGTAGCTGTAATGTAGCTGCTTTAGATGGGACTTTCCTTGAAGAGTATGCAAATATTACCTGCCCGCTAATTTAAATGTGTTCTCTTTTGGGAACTTTGTCTCTCCAGCGCTCTGTGTATTTGCAATTTTAACATTTATTCCCTGTGTCAATCAGGAGAATGTTGAGTAATGGGATTTGGGCCCTAACACTGTCTCAGTGTCATGGTTGTTCATGAAATATAGTCTTGATTTGAACTCATGGCTTTGGAACTTTTTAACCCCAGGTGACCTGGGAAAGTCTCCAAGTTTGTTGCTTTTGGAGCACATGACAAGATTATGCAATCACACATGGGCAGGGGGAGGATTGGGGAGTTAATTTTCTTTTTGCTTCAGTTTACTTAGTTTCAAAGTTGGTTCTGCTTGACAGTTTGCTTTTGGGGCTGGGCATTTGGTTTTTTTGTGGCTTTTTTTTTTTTTTTTATGAAGGGCCTGTGCTGCCTTGCACAAACCACAGAAAAGGCATTTTATAAGTATGTATTATAGTAGATGTTGAAAAAATACACTTGTAGTTAAAGTACTAAACAATAGAACAGTTTTGTGTTAGAGGCTCTTAAGGTGACCTTGGGGAGATAATTTGATCTCTCCTTGTGTTAATCTGTAAAATGAAGATAAGAACATTCCTCTTGTCTGCCTTGATTATTTGAATTTGCGGTCTTTGGAGCAGAGGGTTTCTTTTACCTTGCTTCACAGCTGTGACAAGGCAATCTCAGTGTTGGGATTTCAGTTCTCCTACTTGTACAAAAAACCATAAAGAGTATCCAGTGCTATGTGATTATCTTGTAAACATCTTATTACTTTTAAAAAGCAATGCAATTGTAAAGGAATTATGTTTCTATTGGCACATTTATGGCATTGCTTTTCTGTACTTTCTCTTTCTAAATTTATTTTTAATATTAGGTTTCAAATTGCAGTTCTGGTGTGCAGCATTGATACTGAGAGAAACAAAAATAACCAAGGAGATGCCAGGTCAGGCACTGCATGTTTACTGGAGATTTTATTTATTTATTTATTTATAATAACACTTACTTCACATGAGGGTACAAACACTCATATCCAAAGAGCTGGACGAGCACAGTGTGCAGTCCTGCCATGCCTGACCACTTCCCATGTTTCCCAGTAGTGGAATTCCATACATTCCTTGCATCCCAGCTGTGTGTAGGAGCCAGCTCTCTGAAGATAGGATGGCAGATATTTTATACTGAGAAATGGGAGAACTTTTCCTATTGATCTCACTGGAGGGGAGGGCTTAGGGGGTTTAGTCATTAAATTTGAGACCATGGAGTTCATAGGTTCAGGTGGTGGTAGAGGCAGTTCTTCCTCCAGCCGAAACAGTGAGTGGTGTGAGCTAAAAACCCCCAATTTTGAAAAGGAGAGGTTCAATCAATTTCACTTTCTCACAGTTATCACAGTTCTAATTGCTGATTCTGGTTTTGAAGATAAAAGCAAGCAAACACATGCTCAGAGAAACACACCTCATGTTCCCTCTGGACTCTGGTTTCCAGTCCATGTCTGTCATTGAGACTTGGGTGGGGCAGGACACTGGTGCCAGGCCACTGCTGCTCCTTTCACTGTGTGCTCCTTTCTCCTTGCTCAG